GTTCTCAAAGTGCAAGGTTTCATTTGACTTACAATTTTCTTCAGAAACACAGAAGAAAAAGGTATTTGTATATAGTTTTGTATATTCACTTCGTTGTGTGTGTAGAGCTTTTAAAAATACGTTGAATCCTTATTCTAATCTAATCTTCTTCTAATGTAATACTTTTCGTATTTCAAATGTTGTAATAATTATTCTGTAAGAGCTTTGACATTATTTCTAAATGGACATCGAGAAACATCATAGTTTTTTGAGAGCAGGCCGCCATGTTATTTTTCTGAGTCATTAACAAATTGGTACTCTGGAATTACGAGCAATTATTTTTCATTGTACGGGCTAGTATGAATTTCAAATCAAATCTCTATAAACGACTATTATATTTTGTGCACTAGAATAACATATCGCACTTATTTTCTAGAATCAAATTGTAATCAGTTTTACTTATATGTATGTATATTCAATGTGAACTTGCACCTTGAATAAAATATCACAGTTACTTTTCATGGTAATATATATATTATTACTAAATTTAGATAATATACACTTTACGTATGTTCACTTTGAACTGGCACCTTGAATAACATATCAGTTACTTTTCGTGATAATTTATTATTAGATCGTTTAAATTTTTGAGTACCTTCTTTTGAACATGGCCTGACCTTTTCATTTTTATGATTTTTTTAGGTTATATATAATCCTGATGACGTCAGCGGACGCGGACAGAGAAGAAAAAGAAGAAGAAGAAAAAAGAAGAAGAAGACGACGTTACTTCATTTTTCATGAAAAACGTCACTTTTTGACCGCTTGTATCTCCAAAACGGCTTGACCGATTTTATTTTTTCTTGGCTCAAATTACTCGTGGCGATGCCGCCTTTCAGGTTATATTACGTGCAATTCAAAATTTTTATATTTTAGTAGTTCTACACCCCCAAAAATGGACTTTGATGGTGCAGGATCAGGAGACTTGTAGTGTCTTTTAAGGTCTTTTAAGGTTTGAACATGGCCGGAGACACTACCGCGTCTCCTAATATATTTCAACTTAGATTCATCTATCCTCTTTCTTCTTATTTTCTCTTCTTTTCTTGCTATTCCTTCCATCATTTCCTGTACTATCTTTTTGTTTCTTCCTTTTTTCTCTTTTCCTTCAATTCCTCCTTGCATATTTCAGTCTCCTCCAACACTTCTTTTCTCCTTTTTTCCCATTTGCTTTACTCCCTATTTTTTATCTCTTTTTCTAGTTCTTTTATGCATTCTACTACAAGCTTCTTTTCTGTATTCCTCGCTGTTTCTTCATATTTAATGGCTCTCATCATAGCTTTCATCCTTAATTCCCTCATCTTCGTTTCTTCCTTCATGATATAATTCGGATACACACACATACATACTATATGTCCACATACTTACAATATAATTACAATATAATTACAATATAATTTCTATTTTATGCCTATTTATATATTTTAAATTTTTAGTAAAATTTTTGGTCACTTTAAAATAATTTATCGACTAAAATCCATTTAAATATATTTTCACTATAACAATCACATTCTTTAAATTTGTAATTGTAAAAGTTTAAAATATTCTTGAAATGTGTAATTTAATATTTATGATTAATTATTGATTATTATCTTCTTCAATCAAAGATGTTTGATTTATTTCAGAAATCGATTATATTAATTTTGTTATTCTATTTATCGGATTTTTTTAAAATTGTAATTGTAATTAAATGAATTGTGATTATACTCCCTGTCCAAAACCATTAATTATATTAATTATATATTAATTAATATAATTAATTTAAAATATATTATATTAATATAAATAGATATATATATAATTTTAATATATATTATATTATATTAATATATATTATATTAATATATTATATTTGTTCGAAATTGAGAAGAAAATTAATATAATTGTTTAAGTCTATAATTTCAGTCTAAAAGTCGATATTTTCTTACATGAATATGCGAAAAAAATCGCGGAAAAAAGGGCTCGCCCGATATAAACAAGTAGGCGATAAATCAGGATTATCCTAACAAGCTGTCAATAATAACAACATTGCTCAACCGAAAGCAACGATTACCGTATTGATTATCGATGTAATAGACATGCGCCGTTCGATCACGTGGCTTCCGAAAGCCAATCGATCCCGCTATCGAGCGTTTCACGCATGTCAGGTGCGTGCTTGTTTCGCGTAAATTACGGGGCGGCCAATAAAGACAGGCGCCCTCGCGTCACCTTCGAACATTTTTAAACAAACGAAATTAATTGGTGAAGTATAAATTAGTGGGGCTTCAGTACCGCACCGATAAAGGAAGCGCCCACAAAAATTGCGCAGCTAGTCTCTCGAGTCTTAGTACGTACAACCGCTGTCAAACCGCTTAAAAATTACCGCAATTATTAACCGCACACGCACTTTGAAGTCGATCTCGGCTTATCTATTGGAACTTTTGTAAAATTACTGTATCGTCTAAATTGTGTTAAAGTAAACTCTGTGTTATTTTTAAAGGGTGATCAATTCTTTTCGGCCTTCAAATACACGCTCTCCTTCACGCGTTCGCGCATACATATTTTTGGTCCTTCGAGACGGATTATCAGTTCGTCGCGCCGGCACGGGTGTGAACGTTCTTGAAGACGAGAGTGAAGTGCCTGAAAAAGAAATACAGTGAGTGTCACATCATGGATGCCGCTATATTATTAGATAGTCAGCGTGAGATCCAAGTTCGAATCTCACGCTCTGTCGTATACCTGAAGAAGATGGGCGCTCCTAACATCACATCCAGTGCCGTCCTTACCCGCATCAGACTTCTCGATCAAGCCTGGGATAAGTTCGTAATCCAGCACGATCAGCTGCGCATTGCCCTGAAAAATAAGTTCAGGGAAAGTGATTACGTTACTTCAGGACTCCATGATTTGACTGAAAATACGTACGTACAGCAAAGGAGCATCCAGGACGGCTACGCTGAACACATTCGGTCAGCCTCGGAGACAGTCAAGTTAAACGAAGCCGCTCCTCGAACCGCATTACCTCGGGTCAGGATTCTGCAGTTTTTGGGAGCTTACTCCGAGTGGCCAACCTTCCGAGATCTCTTCCTGTCTGTCGTCGGTGATAACGCCACCATCTCTAATATCGAACACCTGCATCATCTTCGGTCGAGTTTGAACAGACAGGCTGAAAAATTGATAAGCTTATTACCGGTGACAGGAGACAACTACGAACGTGCATGGACGATACTGTGCAAACACTATGAAAACGAGAGAGAACTCATCCGATGCAACTTCGCCGCATTCACCGCCGTGCCGAGAATGAAGAACGGAACCGCTGAAGAACTGCATCGCATCTATAACGCTGCCGTCACAGTCGTCAACGCACAGGAAAGTATAGGTCGTCCCATTGAATCTCACGGAATGGACCTCCTAAACTACCTGATCGTCGAACAATTCGACGCACACACTCGGATGGAATGGGAGAATTCCATATCCGACTCCAACAAGTCACCACAGCACGAAACACTGTTGGACTTCATGACGCGACGGATGTTCACACTTAACGCCGTGCATCCGAAGACTCTCAAGAAGAACTTCGGAGAGTCTTCACGAACGGCGAAGACACATGTTGCGAAGCACGGAACTGACCTTCCACAATGCGCACTGTGCCATGAAAAGCACCATCTGATGACGTGTCGCGAATTCAAGACGAAATCCGCTGCAGATCGAAAGGCCTTCGTTGAGACACACAGACTGTGTTTCAACTGCCTCGGAAATCACTATCTCACAAATGTCAGTCGAAGAAGAACTGCTACACATGCAAGGCACGGCATCACACTTTACTGCACGACGCATACAACACGGTCACCGCACATACAGCAGAAGCCACTTCACTCGCCGCACTGCACAAAGCCAAGGAACAGAAGGCTGTACTTCTCGCCACTGCTCGGGTGAACATAGCCGATCGCCATGGAGCACCGCACGACGTCCGAGCACTGATCGACCAGGGATCAGAGGTGTCGATCGTTTCTGAAGCACTGGTGCAACGATTGAACCTGCCTCGATCACGCACCGACATGGCCATCTTTGGGATCGGAGGCGCACGACCAGGATCAACGCGTGGCAAGGTCACGCTGCACCTCACTTCGGACATCACGAACGCCCGGCTCTCCGTGATAGCGTTTATATTGCCACGCCTATCACTTCTTCAAGGCTCCACGTCCAGCACACTACAAGATGGTCCGCATATTCGAGGACTCCAACTGGCGGATCCTCAATTTCACGAGGACGATCCAGCCGAGCTATCCTGGGAGCAGAGGTGTGCTCCTTAATTCTTGAAGAGGGTCTACGCAAGGGTGGACCTCAGATGCCAATTGCGCAGAAGACATCACTAGGATGGATACTCTCTGGAGGCTCCGACGTCGCATCCGCAGAAGAGCACCGTCGCACATTCCAGTGCACTGCCGATCACGAGCTACTCGAGCTGGTGCAGCAGTTTTGGGAACAGGAACGGGAGCCCAACGCAGTCACGACACTCTCCGTCGAAGAGCAGCAATGCAAGGAATTCTTCGTGCACACGCACACTCGCACCTCTTCAGGACGATATGTGGTGAAGCTGCCGTTCTCCTTACCAATCACTGCACTCCGCGAAACCCGCAAACCAGCTGAGCGGCTTCTTACAACGATGGAGAGGCGATGCGTCCAGGACCGTCGATTCGGCAATCTGTATCGCAACTTCATGAAAGAATACGAAGACCTAAAACATATGACGCTGGGACATGCTCCACAACTAGCAATCAGTCAACGTACTTACCACATCATGGAGTACTCAAGGAGTCCAGTGCCACGACGAAGCTGAGGGTCGTGTTCAATGGGTCGCAGCGAACGCGAACAGGAGACTCATTAAATGCACACCTCATGACTGGAGCAAATCATCTGCCAGCAGCTCTCCTGACGTATTACTTCGATGGCGTCAACACCAGTATGTCTTCGTTGCTGATATAGAAAAAATGTATCGGCAGATACTCGTGCATCCGGATGACTGCAAATTCCAAACGATCCTGTGGCGTCATTCAACTGATGATGAAGTGCGAGAGTACCAGCTGAGAACGGTCACCTACGGTCTGGCGTGTGCCGGCGCGCGCCTACCCCACTATCAATCGAGAATTCATAGCGACTTATTGTCAGCAAGTGACAAGGCGGGCGGGATGTTCGAAATTGAGAAGAAAATTAATATAATTGTCTAAGTCTATAATTTCAGTCTAAAAATCGATATTTTCTTACATGAATATGCGAAAAAAACCGCGGAAAAAAGGGCTCGCCCGATATAAACAAGTAGGCGATAAATCAGGATTATCCTAACAAGCTGTCAATAATAACAACATTGCTCAACCGAAAGCAACGATTACCGTATTGATTATCGATGTAATAGACATGCGCCGTTCGATCACGTGGCTTCCGAAAGCCAATCGATCCCGCTATCGAGCGTTTCACGCATGTCAGGTGCGTGCTTGTTTCGCGTAAATTACGGGGCGGCCAATAAAGACAGGTGCCCTCGCGTCACCTTCGAACATTTTTAAACAAACGAAATTAATTGGTGAAGTAAAAATTAGTGGGGCTTCAGTACCGCACCGATAAAGGAAGCGCCCACAAAAATTGCGCAGCTAGTCTCTCGAGTCTTAGTACGTACAACCGCTGTCAAACCGCTTAGAAATTACCGCAATTATTAACCGCACACGCACTTTGAAGTCGATCTCGGTTATCTATTGAAACTTTTGTAAAATTACTGTATCGTCTAAATTGTGTTAAAGTAAACTCTGTGTTATTTTTAAAGGGTGATCAATTCTTTTCGGCCTTCAAATACGCGCTCTCCTTCACGCGTTTGCGCATACAATATTAATTATATTAATTAATATAATTAATTTAAATATAATTCTTTAAATGTATAATTTAATATTTATAATAATATAATAATTATATATAATAATTATATATATATATATATATAATATAATAAATTTATATATATTTCAAATTTTCTAATATATTCACTGTATAGAGAAATTATTGGATATGTGGACGGAATTGAAGCTTCACGATCTGTTGGTAACAACAAACAATATAAATTTTTTAAATTTTACCTTAATAACGGAAATGGTAAAAGAATACAAATTGTAGCATGGAATGTTAACATAGATTTGGTTGAAAACTATATTCAAACTAATCGTGTAAGTTACATATTTATTTTACTATTTTATATTATACAAATCTTTATCTTTTATTTTATTTATAATGTTTATAATAAGTCTATAATCTTTAGCGATTAATATAAAAATAATAATATAATTTAATACTATATAAACATCTTAAAATTCTGTAAAGGATAAGTTATTAAAATAAATATTATTTATATGTGCGTTTAAATATATATTTATATAAGGATGTCCACCATTCAATATTTTAATAATATATTCTTGAGATAAAATAGAGTACAAAATTTTAATATAAAAATATCGAGGTTGTAATGGTTTAAGTATATATATAATAGTTTAAAATACATCGTCTAGAATCAACGCGCTTTTGCCCGAAACATATATTATACTACACGTATGTACGCGCGTATCGATCTGTCAATTGTTATTCTTATTGATTTTTACGACTCAGCTGATATTGAATTTTCTACATAGCTAAGTTTATTATTTCTTAAATGCATGAATATTATGTATACTATCAAGATCAATTAATATTAAAATATTAATTATTGTAAAATTATAATTCTTTATTGAAATATTTAACTCTTTATTATTTTAAATTATTATTATTATTATTATTATTATAAATATTATTATTACAAGAAATTATAATTCTTTTAATGAAATATTTAATTATTTATTATTTTAAATTATTATTATTATAAGAATTATAATTTACTATAATATTATAACAATTAATATTTTAATATTAATTGATCTCAATAAAATATGTAGTACTCATGTATTTAAGAAATGATAAATTCAATTGTGTAGAAAAACTCAATATCAGCTGATTCGTAAAATTCAATAGACATCATTTGACAAGTATCAATTGAGATTGGTACGCGTGTACGTGTAGTACATTGTAACGAAGCACCTTTCCCGACGCCACGGATCGGCTCGCCGGTGCCAGGATTCGGGAAGAGGGGAGACTCAGATTTACAATGACACACGGTTGCTCTGGTAAAAGTAGAGTTTATTCGGGGCCACCTTCCTGTGGTTCTCCCGTGATTCAAACCATTATACACAGCACAGTATAATCGGACGAAACGCGACCAGATGATACGGACGCGGACACGACTTATTGCTAGAATTGACAGATAGAAATATTACGGACGAGACGCGACCAGATTATACGGACGCGGACACGACTTATTGCTAGGATTGACGGATAGAAATATTACGGACGAGACGCGACCAGATTATACGGACGCAGACACGACTTATTGCTAAAGTTTCCAACGCGGACACGCGTACGGGCGCCCTGAGAAGGGCGAGCTCCGTCAGGCGCCGGTGACTTTCAGGTAGGACCCGGTGACCGAGGACGCTCGGCCTGCACGACGAGAACGCTCGTCGGCCGGGGTGATTTACGGACAGGACCCGGTGACCGAGGACGCTCGGCCTGCACGACGAGAACGCTCGTCGGCCGGGGGTGATTTACGGACAGGACCCGGTGACCGAGGACGCTCGGCCTGCACGACGAGAACGCTCGTCGGCCGGGGTGATTTACGGACAGGACCCGGTGACCGAGGACGCTCGGCCTGCACGACGAGAACGCTCGTCGGCCGGGGTGATTTACGGACAGGACCCGGTGACCGAGGACGCTCGGCCTGCACGACGAGAACGCTCGTCGGCCGGGGTGATTTACGGACAGGACCCGGTGACCGAGGACGCTCGGCCTGCACGACGAGAACGCTCGTCGGCCGGGGTAATTTCGGACAGGACCCGGTGACCGAGGACGCTCGGCCTGCACGACGAGAACGCTCGTCGGCCGGGGTGATTTACGGACAGGACCCGGTGACCGAGGACGCTCGGCCTGCACGACGAGAACGCTCGTCGGCCGGGGTGATTTACGGACAGGACCCGGTGACCGAGGACGCTCGGCCTGCACGACGAGAACGCTCGTCGGCCGGGGTGATTTACGGACAGGACCCGGACGCTCGGCCTGCACGACGAGAACGCTCGTCGGCCGGGGTGATTTACGGACAGGACCCGGTGACCGAGGACGCTCGGCCTGCACGACGAGAACGCTCGTCGGCCGGGGTGACTTGGAGTGTGGGAGTTGAGGAGTGATCCCTGAGTACGCTCGAGGGACCAGGACGGGACTGGTGCCGAAGTCTCGGCTGCGCCGCTCTTTATACCCGTCGGCCACCCCACTCTAAGACTAGCTTGGAGGGGGCCGAGTGACGGGTGGGGGCGAAAAGGCGGATTCCCAACGTGTTCGTGTGGTGGCCCCGAAAGGGGCCGTTTACATGAGCGCGGGCGACTAGTGACGGCTAATCGGGTCGTCACAACATGTTACAGACCTGAGCGCACCACGCTCTTCTACACTGTAAAGAAATTAAGTAAATTTACACAAATAATAAATTAAAAAATTATATGATTAGTTCTGTAAATTTTAAAATTTTATAATTTTACAGAAATTATGTAATTCCACAAAAAAAAAATAAAATTCTCTTATTGTATAAATATATCTAATCTTATATGAAAAATTACGTAATTGATAGAATATTTTAATATTTTATATAATTATCCAATTTTTGTAATATTATAGATGGTATATAGTGATGATAGTGAATATTATATACTTATTGTAAATTTATTACCGCAATCTGCTTAATTACAAATTAAAAAATTAATTACATATTATAAATTTACAAACGTGTTAAAATTTACAACTATTATAGTTGGTCTTAGAATTACCCACTATAACCAGCAAACACAAAGTAACAGTAGTATAACATTAATATTTCCTTAAGAGTTTAGCAAGGCTCTGTAATATAAATATAAATTTAACGTATAAGACAGGCAATAAGAGCCAAATCGCGGATGACAATGCGTTATCCTAACGAAACTAAATTATTTTTTTTGTTAAAATTAAATACCGGTGCACAAGGCACCAAATTTTACTTGGACACGGCCAAGATTTTTAAAATATGAAATAATCTCATATTTGAGATTTAATTTCAGCCTTGCTAAACTCTTAATTTATACACGCTGGCTTAAAGGCGTTTGTTTACCAACATTAATATATATAACAGAGAAAAGTATAGAATCGAAGGAATCTGAATAGCTCAGATGGAAGAGCAGTCACCCGGCAAGCGAAAGGTTTCGGGTTCGATTCCCGATTCAGCGACTTTCGGATCTATATTTTTCTCTTGCATTCATTTATTTATCTCCGTAGGAGGGTTAAAGGAGTATTGAAATTAAATCTCAAATATGAGATTATTTCATATTTTAAAAATCTTGGCCGTGTCCAAGTAAAATTTGGTGCCTTGTGCACCGGTATTTAATTCTAACAAAAAAATTAATTTAGTTTCGTTAGGATAACGCATTGTCATCCGCGATTTGGCTCTTATTGCCTGTCTTATACGTTAAATTTATATTAATATTTTCATCAATTTCCTATTCAACAATATAAGTGTTATGTACAAAGCATATTATATTACAGTTACATTGTTGAGTATTAAAACATTAATGTTATGTTACTGTTACTTTGTGTTTGCTGGGAATAGGTGTAATTTTACACAAAAATTTTTTACAGTGTAAACGATATTATTGGCAATCTTTGATTACTTATAACTCGAAAACTATTGCAGCTTCGATATTTTCGTATTAAGATTTTTATTCTATTTTATTTCAAAAATATATTTAAAAAAAATATTAGAAGATAGTTGTGCACACTTTGTATATATATGTATGTATATATATATATATATATATATATGCATGTATGTATATGTATATATATTGTACATATATACATATATACATATAATATGTAAGAAAAAACAAAATTATAATTATATTATAATAAAATATATATCAATATAGATTATATACTTGGATGGTGTACAAGCTAAACCGCCAAAGGTGGCATTATACAACAATGGCAATATACCATTTGAGTTACAAATTTTAAATAACACAATAATTTCGACATTAAGCAAATACAATGAAAATTTATCAAGTTCAGAGCCAGAAAAAATTAAACTTTGTGATGTATTCAATACCTCAAATCGCATCTGTAGGTTTCATATATTATACACAAAAAGAATATTTCTAATAGTTACATATACAAATAGAAATAATAAATATAAAGAAACATCTCTTTGTATAATATATATAAAATTATTATATTTCATTATATATATTCTTGTAACGGTACGGTTTACGTATCGCCTCGGACGGCTCGCCGGGATCAGGATTCGACGGGATCGGAAGGCCAAACTTGCGTACACGTGATTAAGCTCAATAATTAGTTTATTCGATTACTACACTATGTATACATATGCTTAACCTAGCGGACGATCACACTAATGTCTATATACAAACCTATTCCTAACGCGCGGACGGACGATATATCTCGCGGTCGCGGAGCCGCGGGCGGCGGCGCGGCGCGCTGCGGAAAAGTCGGATGCCGGGTACGCCCTGGCGTCAGAGGGGGCACGCCCGCCTCTGCCGACCGGAGAGAAGGAGCCGAATGCCGGGTACCCCCAGGCAGCGAAGGGGTCAAACCCACCTCCGTCGGCCGGACACAGGAGACCGAATGCCGGGCACTCCCAGGCAGCGAAGGGGTTAAACCCACCTCCGTCGGCCGGACACAGGAGACCGAATGCCGGGCACTCCCAGGCAGCGAAGGGGTTAAACCCACCTGCGTCGGTCGTAGAGAAAGGAACCGAACGCCGGGTACTCCCAGGCAGCGAAGGGGTTAAACCCACCTCCGTCGGTCGGAGAGAAGGAAGTCGAACGCCGGGAACTCCCAGGCAGCGAAGAGGGTACACCCGTCTTCGTCGACTGTCAGGAATCTTGGTCTTGGAAGCCTCGAGTACACCCAGAGGCTTGGTGTCAGGATCAGGATTCAGGACAGGACTGGTGCCGGCTCTTCGGACGAGCCGGCTTATATACCGGTGCGGGTCCCCCCACGTGCTTACTTTCACGTGTTGGGCATCCCGCCGGAGGGGATGGATCACGCGCCCGGCGGATGGTCGGCCAGGAGCGTCGGGCAGGTGTCCGGCCCGGCGCACTTAATAACGACTATTAATAGGTCGTTACATCACCCTCCCCTTTTACAGGGGGGTGGCAGGCAGGGGGTGGACGGCCCGTGGTCGACCCTGTCGGTCGAAGCGGATGATCCACTTCCCCGTCGCCGTACGTAGCCGATACTTCCGGCTGATCGTGGCGGCGTGGAAGGGGACCTCCACTACGGTGCCGTCCCCCAGCGTCACCTGCACTGGCGATGTCGCAGCGGTGTTTAGCGAGTGCGGCGGTGGTGGGCGCGCGCGGTGGGTCGACGTGGGTCCGAGCGTAGGCGGGCCGGATGGTCGGGCGGTCGCTGATCGGCCGGAGACGGCGGCAAGGTTCCCGGGTCGGGACTCGGTGGCTGCGGGGGTCGAGATGTTAGGCCCCCGTTGCTGCCCGGCCGCGGCGGGTGATCGGCGCGGCGCGTTCGCTCGGGCCTGGCGGCGTAACGCCATTAATACCCCTGGCCCGTGACGGGTCGTCCGCGGGGGAGGCGGGGTGGCGAGGATGATCGCCCGCCGTCTTGTCTCCCTGTCGGACCGCTGGATGGTCGTCCCGGGCCGGGGCACGTGTGCGACTCGTGTCGGCGTCGGTGGTGCGGGGGTTGGTCGCCGCTTCCACCCTCCACCGCTGTCGTCGGATGAGGAGGAGAGGTCCCCGAACAGATCGTTCACGTTCCTTGGCAAGCTCATCGTAGGACTAGGCCGATCGTGCGGCTCGTGTTGCCCTATATACCCCGTTCGACGGGGTGGGGGCGCGCTGGAATGCGGTAAACAATTTTTGTCGTTAGTTTTCGGTGGTTTGGCCAGGATAGTGAGGGCTATAGTCGGTTAATACTTATCTTGGGGTTTATGGCCCCCCGATAGGCCGTTCGTCGTCACTCCCTGCGTCGTGTTCGTCGGCTGTTTCCCTTGCTTCGGCCGGTTTCAGGTCCTGGATATGCACGTGTCGGTGCCACTTGCCGCATGCATCCCGGAGGTCTACGATGACTGGTGAAATGAGGCGGCGAACTTCCATTGGCCCGCTGAACTTAGGGGCGAGTTTCGCGTTGAACGCCTCGCTCTTCCATGAGAGATGTCGGTCTCGTTTCCACACCTGGTCTCCTGGTTGCGGACGCCATTCACGGCGTCGGAGATTATAGTGCCTCTCCTGCTTCTGGAACGCGCGGGCCAGGTGAACGCGGACAAGCTCGAAGGCCTCCTGTAGTTGCCGGCTGCGTTGCCCCGGTTCTTGCTCGTCCGGTTCGAATCGGTCCGCCACGTGAGGCCGGGCTAGCTCTCTTCCGTGAGTGAGGTATGCTGGTGTATATCCCGTGGCTTCGTGGCGGGCGGTGTTAATGGCGAACTGTAGTGCGTCCAGGTGGCCATCCCAGTCCTGGTGGTGTTCTCCGGTGTACTGGGCGAGCATGGTCTTTGTGGTTTGATTGGCTCGATCCACCGGGTTGCAATGGGGTGCGTATACCGGGGAGGTGCGATGTTCTATCCCGAACTCTGCCAATAGTTGTTTGAATTCCCTGGACGTGAATTGCGTTCCGTTGTCTGAGTGTATCTGTGCGGGGCAGCCGTGACGATAGATGACCCGCGTGGTGATTCCTTCGGCTAACTGTCGCGCCGTTGCCTTCCGGAGAGGAATAAGCTCCAGCCATTTGCTGAATCGGTCCTGGGCCGTAAGGAGCCAGGTGTGTCCTCGTCGGGATCTCGGCAAGGGTCCCACCAGATCTACGGAGACCTGCTGTCCTGGTGCCGTGACGGGGGTGGCGTGAAGGAGACCGGCCGGTCGTCGTTGCGACACCTTATACGCCTGGCAATTTGGGCATCGGTGCACGTATCGCGCGATTTCCCGGAACATACCGGGCCAATAATACAACTGGGCGGCCCGGGCGATGGTCTTGGACACCCCTAAGTGTCCCGCTGTGGGCTCGTCGTGCAGCCGCCGCAAGACTTCGGATCGTTGGTCGCGTGGCACGCATCTCTTCCATTGTTCCCCCGGAGGTGTGTGCCGGAAGTCCAGGTCGTGCAGTACGTGGCGATATAGCTGCCCATCGCGAATCTCGTAGTCTGGACTGGTCTCCGGTTCCGCTTCTACCTGGGCTCGCATCCGGTTGTACCAGGGACATGTTGGTTGGTTGATGATGGCGCTGAGCTGTGGTTCTCGCGAGAGCGCATCGGCTACTTGGTTCTGTGTCCCCCGACGGTACTTGATCTCGAAGTCGAATTGTTGCAGCTCGAATACCCAGCGGCCTAATCGACCGGTGGGAGCCTCGAGCTGCTGTAGCCACTTTAACGCCTGGTGGTCCGTGATTACGGTGAACCGATACCCCTCCAGGTAGTCTCGCATCCTCCGGATTCCCCACACTACGGCTAGACACTCTAATTCGGTGGCACTGTAATTGCGCTCGGCGGGATTAAGTGTTCGGCTGGCGTAAGCGATGACGCGCTCTCCTTTCTCAAATTCCTGCGTGAGGACGGCCCCTAGTCCGTGTGAGCTGGCGTCCGTTTGTAAGAGGAAGGGGCGACTAAAGTTCGGGCAGGCGAGCACTGGCGCGGTTGTTAGAGCCTCCTTGAGCCGTCGGAAGGCTTGTTCTTCTAGTTCTCCCCAGGCCCATCGCGCGTTTTTCTTCGTGAGGTTCGTGAGGGGCGCGGCCACGGTGGAGAATTCGGGGACGAACCTGCGGTACCACGAGGCCATCCCCAAGAACTGGCGGACTCGACGGAGCGTGGTGGGGACGGGCCACCCCGTGATGGCGCTGACCTTGCCCGGGTCGGTCTGGATGCCCCGTCGGTCGACAATGTGTCCCAGGTACTTGAGGCTGCTTCGGCTGAAGTGACACTTTTCGATATTTAGGCGTAGTCTGGCACCCCTCAAGCGTCGGAAGACCTCGCGCAGATGTTGGAGGTGATCTTCAAACGTACGGCTGGCGATCACGATGTCGTCTAAATAGACCAACACGTGGGGCTCCAGATCCGGGCCCAGGACTGTGTCGAGGAGCCGTTGGAACGTGGCCGGAGCGGAGTGGAGGCCGAATGGCATGACCGTAAACTGGTACAGCCCTTTGCCGGGTACGGTGAAGGCTGTAGCTGGCCGACTTGCCTTGGTTAGTGGAATCTGCCAATACCCGCTTTTCAGATCGAGGGTAGACAAGTATTGGGCCCCTCGTAATTTATCGAGTGTGGCGGTGATGTGAGGCAACGGGTAGGCGTCTTTTTCGGATGCCGCGTTGAGCTTCCGGTAGTCGATGCAGAAGCGGTGAGTTCCGTCCTTCTTTCGGACAATGACTACCGGCGAGCTCCATCCGCTTGCGGAGGGTTCGATGACCCCCTCTTTCAGCATTTCCTCGACTTCCTGGTCGGTCACTTGTTGCATGGCCGGGTTCCGTGGTCGGTATTGCTGTTTGATTGGCGGGCCGGGTTTCAGGCGGATGTGATGCTCGGCCCGGTCGGTGGAGCCCCGGATGGTATCGAAGAGGGGCAACTCGGTGGCTAGGAAGGCTTGCAGTCGGGTGTGCTCATCGGTCGCTCCGGTGCTCAAGGCGGTGATGTTGGCGTTAGCGGTGGTTCGTCGTGTGGCCCGGCGTGTGTTAGTTGTTGTCAGGCCGATCCCCAGCTTAGCCCATAGGTCGATGCCTATCAGAATCGGGCTGCTGAGTCTAGGCAGTACCGCGAATCTGTGGCGACAGGGCCGCCCTTGGATTCGGAATCTTAGGCGGACAGTGCCGATGATGTTTGTGGTGGTCTCGTCGGCCAGCCGCACCGTGTCCCCGCCTGTGACGAGGGATTGAATCGGTATCTGGCGTTGTCGAGCGGTTTCTTCGTCCATGAAGGACATTTCGGATCCGGAGTCCAACAGGGCTCGGACCTCCGTTTGACGTATCAGTACGCGTAGGTGCGGCCTGGGGTCGTACTCTATTCCGTGCTGGACCGGCCTATGGCCGCTACGTTCCCGGTCCGGGCGGCGTTTCCCGACGGTGGATGACAATCCCGGGTAAGTACCCCGTCCTTGCCGCATCGGGAGCAGAATTTTTTGGGGGGGCGTTTGCACTCTAGGCGAGTGTGTCCCCGTTGTTTGCAGCGCCAGCAGCACTCCTCTCGGCTATATGTGGCGGCGGCTATAGTGGCCCTGGGCTGAGCGGGGCTCTCCGCCTTGCGCTCTCTTCGCCTCCGAATGATAGCCTCGTACTGGACGGCCTTTGTGCTCAGGTCACCGAGGCTGGTCTGATCGGTCAGGAGGACGTATAGCTGGTACTCAGGGTCCATATTCTCATAAACCTGCTCGACCTTGTCACGAGTCGTGTACCCGCCGGCTCGACGCATCATGGTCAGTACGGACGTTGAGTAGGCCTGGAAAGTTTCCCCGGGTCGTTGATGCCGACCTTGAATCTCCCGTCTCATCCGCCGTTGATATCCGGGCGGTAGGAAATGGGTACGGAACGCCTGAGTAAATTGTTCCCAGGTATCCCATTCCTCATTATGGTTCCGATACCAGAGTAGGGCGTCGCCCCGTAGTAGTTCCGGAAGACCGGTGATTAGCTGGACGGGATCGAGGCCGTAGCTGGCTCGGAGTTTCTCCGTTCGCTCCAGAAAAGCAAGGGGATCTTTGCCATCGAAGAAGTGACCCCACTTTCGGATCTGGTTCATTGTCTTCATTCGGTCGAGTGCCGGCAGATCCTGGCGGGGTCGAGACGGTCGACGGCCTACCGTGTTCTCGCTACCACTATCGTCCTCGTCGGACATCTGGTCGACCCCCGGTATGATAATGGTCGGTGGGATCGAGTTGACAGGCTTCTGCTGTGTGCTAGTCCCCGGCATACTTTCTGGATGCTTACTCATGTGTCTTCGCAGGCGTTTCCTCAGCGTGTCCAGCGGAGCGGTCGAGTCAAGGTGGCGTCGCTCCAGCTCCTGGAGGACCTGGTCTTTGGTGAGCGAATGCACCCACGCACTGCTCATTCGGTGCTACGCAAGTTAGGCCTACCGTGTGTCAGGTCCCTGTTCGGGCGCCATGTAACGGTACGGTTTACGTATCGCCTCGGACGGCTCGCCGGGATCAGGATTCGACGGGATCGGAAGGCCAAACTTGCGTACACGTGATTAAGCTCAATAATTAGTTTATTCGATTACTACACTATGTATACATATGCTTAACCTAGCAAACGATCACACTAATGTCTATATACAAACCTATTCCTAACGCGCGGACGGACGATATATCTCGCGGTCGCGGAGCCGCGGGCGGCGGCGCGGCGCGCTGCGGAAAAGTCGGATGCCGGGTACGCCCTGGCGTCAGAGGGGGCACGCCCGCCTCTGCCGACCGGAGAGAAGGAGCCGAATGCCGGGTACCCCCAGGCAGCGAAGGGGTCAAACCCACCTCCGTCGGCCGGACACAGGAGACCGAATGCCGGGCACTCCCAGGCAGCGAAGGGGTTAAACCCACCTCCGTCGGCCGGACACAGGAGACCGAATGCCGGGCACTCCCAGGCAGCGAAGGGGTTAAACCCACCTCCGTCGGTCGTAGAGAAAGGAACCGAACGCCGGGTACTCCCAGGCAGCGAAGGGGTTAAACCCACCTCCGTCGGTCGGAGAGAAGGAAGTTGAACGCCGGGAACTCCCAGGCAGCGAAGAGGGTACACCCGTCTTCGTCGACTGTCAGGAATCTTGGTCTTGGAAGCCTCGAGTACACCCAGAGGCTTGGTGTCAGGATCAGGATTCAGGACAGGACTGGTGCCGGCTCTTCGGACGAGCCGGCTTATATACCGGTGCGGGTCCCCCCACGTGCTTACTTTCACGTGTTGGGCATCCCGCCGGAGGGGATGGATCACGCGCCCGGCGGATGGTCGGCCAGGAGCGTCGGGCAGATGTCCGGCCCGGCGCATTTAGTAACGACCATTAATAGGTCGTTACATCCTTATATACCTGTTTTTCATTGGTATATGTATGTGTGTGTGTGTGTGTGTATTATATATATTTTTTACAGTATTAGAAGGATATATCAAAACTAATTTAAGCAGTATACATAATATCAAATTGAATAAAATCATTGGATGCGGATCATTAACGGACGGTGTTTATAAATTTGAAGTACACATTGTTAATTTGTAGAAGATGATTATTACGAAATGGATATCCGAAAGGGTGACAAAATAGAAATTATTGGAATGATGAGCAATACAGGTATACAATATTACATAAATCAAAATATATTAATTTTTTTAATTATATATATAAACCAATACAAACTAAGAAATAAAATTTTCTCTCTCACAAAACCATACACCTGCCCATATGCCCATCATTTCACACACACGCATGTATGTACATCCGCATCTTCATGTACATATAAACACATACATATCCAAATTCATACCCACATACATATCCACACACTCCACACATATGAACACACACGCTTGTACACATGCACCCACGCACATTTATAAAACAACATGCTTGTACACTCATACAAATACTCACACGTTTGCATACACACATACACATCGCATATTCACATACATGTTCATATACATGAATTCATATTCACACACACGTCCACACATGCGTTAGCATACACGCACACACACATTCACATGAATTTATTCTTATACTCATAAAATTTTCTCTCTCTTTATTTTATAATTAATCTGATATTATACATATCACATATATTATATGTGTTCGAAATCGAACGGATAAAGAAAGCTGAAAGGAAGGGCATTAATGTATTACAATCAAATTCATGCAATATAAGCATGCAGCATGCACATTACGTATATAAAACCTTAAATTGTAACAGGCAGACTTTAATATTATTTAAATCGCGCTCGGCCGCACAAGTATACATATACCTCGCGCCTGCGAAAAAAGAAGCGCTTGCGATAACTTTCACTTTAATCGTAAACACCGCGGTCGCGCGAGAGGAGAGAAAATCAAGTGCCAATAACAACAAAATATGACTTGCTAAAAGGTAAATAATTATCGTAAACGTACTTTCGCCCTTAACATCTCGATCGAACAAGGGAAAATGTTCGCGAAGGTTCTCGAAATCCGGGCCTATATAAACCTCCTCTCTCGTGACCGCGGCGCTCTTTCCGATTGCTCGTCGCGAATAGAGTGTGCTTCTACTTTCCGAAAAAGATCGCTTGTCTTTTTCGGTTTTCTCGTCTAATTACCGTTGCTTGCGGAACAGTCAGTAATTTATTTTCGACCCGGCTTTTCTCTCGTTTATTGCATTCATTTCTTATACATTCGACTCGGCTATCTTTTGGTAATTTCTGTGCGGTAAAACAATTGTAAATTTTGTTAATAGTTGAAATATATTTTTTGTTAACGATACGCGTGTGTCGAGTGTAGTGCCTATCTATCGTCTCGCTTCCGACCGTCCTTTCCCGCTATCCGTTGTGCACATTTTTTGGTCCTTCGAGCCGGATACTTATCCGGAACCTCCTGTTAATCCGGTGCCACGGAAGCGATCGTGATTAAGTGTCGGTGACCAGTGCCCCTGGAAAAGAGAGACAGTGTGAGAGATGGCAGAAACAAAGGCGATCATTGCCACCGCCACGGTACTATACGGCAAGATCTCGCGCGCGTACGACAACTTGCGGAAGCTCGGCGAGGCCAACATCACCCTCGGCGCAGTAGAGGCCCGGCTTCAAAACCTCGAGAAGCTGTGGGAAAAGTTCGACGCAATTAACGATACGCTAGCCGATCGTGTGGAAGAGATAAAACATGATGTCTACGCCAAGCAAGACATCCCGTCATTAGGTGAGGAAGCTTACCTGCAGAATAAGGGCCTCATGCTCGACCTAAAGAGCGCTCTCCAGCGGCGGCTGCAGGCAGCCAGCTCTACCTCGGCCGCGCCAACGACCTCCGCTCCTCGGACAGCGCTGCCAAAAATCCAGCCACCGACCTTCGCCGGGAAGTACGAAGACTGGCCGTCTTTCCGAGACCTCTTTCAATCCATCATCGGCAGGAACCAGGCAGCCAGACCTGTTGAAAAACTGCATTACCTCAAGCTCTGTGTAAAGGGTGATGCGGAACTGCTAATACGCAATTTGAGTACGACGGATGAAAATTACGAGATCGCCTGGAAGACGTTAAGCAATTTCTACGAGAACAAGAGGTTGTTAACTCGTAACTACCTCAACAACTTTCTGGCTCTTACTAAAATGAAGAGCGAATCCGCAGCTGAGCTAGGGCGACTCTTCCACGGCGTAAAAACAACCGTAAGTTCGCTGAAGAGCATCGATCGTCCCATCGACCGCACGGAGGACCTCTTTGTTCACCTTGTAGTTGAGCTGCTCGATAATCGTTCGCGTCGCGAATGGGAGAGCGTCATCAGCCACACCACCAACCCGCCTACCTACGCCGAATTGGAAGGATTCATAGAGCGACGGCTGCACACCTTAGAGGCTCTGTTTCCTGTGAAGAACGACAGTCGCAGCAGCAGCGACACCAAAGCAACTCGAAGCCATCACGTAAAGAAAACTGAGCCGAAAGACAGGTCCAGAAGTCGGTGCGCCGGTTGCCAGGGGGACCACTTCATAATGTTTTGCAGCAGCTATAAGGAGAAGACGGCTACAGCGCGCATGCAGTTTGTACGCGAACAGAACCTCTGTTCTAACTGCCTGGGGCGCCACCAGCTGACTGAGTGCGCGTCAAAAAAGACCTGTATGACGTGCGGCAGTCGGCACCACTCTTCTCTGCACGACGCCTTCCGCGACGCCGAGACCGCTACGACATCACACGTGGCTCAAGGACAGCCCTTCGCCTTTGTCACTGTGCTGCTCGCCACTGCTCGAGTCCGCGTCCTCGATCGTCACGGATCATGGCATCCCGCCCGAGCTCTGATCGACCAGGGCTCAGAGACGACCATAGTTTCGGAGCGGTTGGTTCAACGACTGCGACTGCCTCGCACGTCTGCCGCCGTCAGCGTCTATGGACTCGGCGAGCAAAGGACGGGAATCGCCAAGGGCAAGGTCAAGCTCACCTTTCGAGCGCTCAACGGTGAGACGTCCAACTCCGTCTCCGCCTTGATTTTGCCGAAGCTGACTCTATTCTCCGGAGGATGCCGCCGAAGCCTGCAATCCTGGACACATCTCAGGGACCTAGAGCTAGCCGATCCAGAATTCCATTCCGCTGATCCAGTAGACCTTCTGCTGGGCGCCGACGTCTACGGATTAATCATCCGCCAGGGTCTGAAAAAGGGAGGTCCTCAGGAACCGGTGGCACAGCAAACTTCGCTAGGCTGGATACTCTCAGGAGCCATCAACGAGAATACACGCTGCCAACGTATGTCCTCCCACCATTGCCAAGTGGAGGAAGACCTCACCTGTTTGGTACGTCGCTTTTGGGAGCAGGAAGAGGTTCGACAGCCGTCTCAGCTCTTCACCAAGGTCGAGCGGGAGTGCGAGGAGCACTATCGTCAGTACCACACACGCAACGCCGATGGCCGGTACGTCGTGCGCCTGCCCACGACGGAATCTCTACCGGATCTCTCTGGAACAATCCGCGCCGCCCGCCGGGCTCTGCAACATACAGAGAAGAAATTTGATCGAGAGAGCGAGTTCAGAGGTATGTATGTCAAATTCATGCAACAGTACTTAGACCTGCGCCACATGATGCCTGCTCCGCCTTCGACTACCACGCGTCCTGGAGCTTGCTATCTACCGCATCACGGGGTCCTGCGTCCTGACAGCACCTCCACAAAGCTGAGGGTAGTCTTCAACGGCTCGAGCTCCTTGCCAAACGGAGACTCTCTCAACAGATATCTAGCAACGGGACCGAATCTACTACCTTCTCTGGCCGACATCCTACTGAGTTGGCGACGCCATCGCTACGTCTTCGCGACTGACATCGAGAAGATGTACAGACAGATCCTTGTGCACCCCGACGACCAATGTCTGCAAAGGATATTATGGAGAGAGAGCAGCAACGACGAAGTAAAGGAGTACTGGCTAAGTACCGTTACTTACGGGCTTTCCTGTGCTCCTTATCTGGCGATCCGTACTTTGCGCCAACTTGCCGAGGATGAGGGACATCGCTACCCGAAGGGAGCTCTCATCCTGCTGAGCGACGTTTACATGGACGACATCCTGGCAGGCGCGGAGACCATGGAGGAAGCCGAGGTCATGATCCAACAGCTGAAGGAGATCTGCAGGGCGGGCGGCTTCTCGCTTAAGAAATGGTCGGCAAACCATTCGCTGTTACTGAACCAAGTGGAGCCCGACGACCGGCTTCGACAAGAGTCTAGATGGTGGCTGCCCGGCGAGAGTCACTCTACGCTCGGTCTAAGATGGCAACCTCGTGACGATCTCTTCGCATTCGCTACCAAAGCGATCACACTGTCGACCTTCAGCAAACGGTCGGTACTTTCGTTGACAGCGAAGATGTTCGACCCTCTTGGCTGGCTGGCACCAACAACGATATTGGCAAAAATCTTCATCCAGTCTACCTGGTTGCTAGGTCTGGATTGGGACGCTCCGCTACCTTGCGACGAAGCGAGAAGATGGTTACGATTCCAGAGCGAACTGCCGGCTCTGGAAAAAGTAATCGTACCTCGATGGCTGGGAGGTGTGACTGAATCAATGTTGGAAATCCACGGATTCGCCGATGCCTCCGAGCGTGCCTACTCCGCAGTGATCTACCTGAAGAGCAAAACAAAGGGCATTACTAAGGTGACTCTCTTAGCTGCCAAAACCAAGGTCGCGCCATTGAAGCAGGTATCATTACCTCGACTGGAGCTATCTGCAGCGACTCTTCTGGCCCGTCTCGTCGCCCACACCTTGCCGATCATCGGAGCTGAAAGAGCACCTCTTCACATGTGGTCAGATTCCACAGTCACGCTCGGCTGGATCCGAGGACATCCATCGACGTGGGCCACCTATGTGGCCAACAGGGTCAGCGAGATACAAACGCTGATTCCTGATGCCCACTGGCATCACGTACCAGGACGAGAAAATCCAGCGGACTGCGCTTCTCGGGGACTATATCCTGGTGAGCTGGTTGACCACCCGCTCTGGTGGCAAGGTCCGGAATGGTTAGCAACGGAGAGCAGCCCGTGGATAAACAGTGGAGAGGAGATTCCAACGGAGGACCTCCCAGAGAGACGAGTCCGGGCCCACGCCGCCGCCGTTGCCGAGCTGGAACCCGAGTCAGAATTGCTGCTGCGCTATTCTTCTCTGACCAGACTGCTGCGGATCACTGCATGGTGCCGTCGCTGGTGGCTGATCCACCGCCAGCTTCGTCACCCTCAAAGCCAGTCGAACGAAATCAGCGCCGACGACCTGACGGAAGCCCGCCTCTCCTGGGTTAGATTGATCCAGGCTGGAAAGTTAAAAGAAGAGATTAGACGGTTGCGACATGGAACGCCGCTGCCGTCGCGAAGCGCCCTGCTGAAACTAAATCCATTTCTGGACAGCGAGGGACTCCTACGCGTCGGCGGGCGCCTCAGCAACGCTGACCTGCCGTATGATGCCACTCATCCGCTAATACTGCCCAGCGAGTCTACCTTCACTAACCTCGTCATCGATGACCACCACCAGCGGACTCTACACGGCGGGACGCAGCTGACTTTATGCTCTTTACGCCAGGAATATTGGGTTCCTCGAGGTCGCTCGCTGGTGAAGAGACGCATCAGCCGATGCGTCAGGTGCATAAGATGGCGAGCCGCCATCCCACAGCCTCTCATGGGCGACCTCCCGGAGCCAAGGGTCAAACCAAGCAGGCCGTTCCTCCACGCCGGCATCGACTACGCCGGACCGGTTTGGATGAGAACCTCTAAGGGGACACAAGGCATCGAAAGGTTTTATTGTCGTTTTTATCTGTTTAGCCTCTAGAGCCGTTCACCTCGACGTAGCCTCGGATTACTCCGCCGACGCCTTCATCGCTGCCTTGCGCCGGCTGATCTCCAGGCGTGGGATCTGCATCTCATTGTACAGCGACTGCGGAACCAATTTCGTGGGTGCTGACAGGCAGCTAGGCGCTCTCTTCTCTGCTGCCAGTGCCGACGGACGCCGCATCGCCGCCTTCGCCGCACAGGAGAAAATCCGGTGGCATTTTAATCCACCGGCGGCACCTAACTTCGGCGGTTTGTGGGAAGCCGCTGTGAAGTCCATGAAACACCATCTGCGACGAGTAATAGGTGATGCCCGGCTCACCTATGAGGAGATGGCGACGCTGCTCTCACAGATTGAGGCTTGCCTCAATTCTCGACCGTTGCAGCCCCTGTCCGATGATCCTGAGGACGTAGCGGCTCTCACCCCGGGACACTTCCTAATCGGTTCCGCTCTCTCCGCCGTACCGGAACCGTCGCTCGAGAGAGAACCTTCGGCCCGATTATCGCGCTGGCAGCTCCTGCAACAGATGAGGGACCATTTTTGGTCCCGGTGGTCCAGCGAGTACTTACATACGCTGGCCCATCGGCCAAAATGGTCCCGAGTCAACCAGGAGGCTTGCATCGGTCGGCTGTGTTTGATTCGAAGCGAGCATACTCCACCAACGAGGTGGCCGCTCGCGCGCGTCACGCGCTTGCACCCGGGATCCGACGGCCACGTGCGCGTGGTCGAACTACGTACCGCTAATACCAATTTGACGCGACCCGTAAGCAAGTTAGTATTTTTGACCGACGGCGCCGAAGTTTCACTCGAATCAAAATCACACGTCGTAAGCGATTAACCTAATTTAAAAAAAAAAAAAAAAACTTCACACTTTCCGCTATTAGATATTCACATTCATTTGCACATCACCGTCATATCGTTGCACTCATGTTATCACCATACTTTGTTACAGGTAGAACACTAAAGATTGTTCCGAATTTCCGCGACGCTTAACCGACACGCGTCTATACTGACGCCCGACACAAACTGCTGATCGGCTCAGCATTCTATTGACAAATTCCGTCGGAGCACGTGCGCTCCACGTGCCAGTCACTCGCTAGCGCGTGAATAGGCGCGCGCCCTTACTTTCGCGCTACGGTTCTTATATTGCAGGTGTACTGCAAGGCGGGCGGAATGTTCGAAATCGAACGGATAAAGAAAGCTGAAAGGAAGGGCATTAATGTATTACAATCAAATTCATGCAATATAAGCATGCAGCATGCACATTACGTATATAAAACCTTAAATTGTAACAGGCAGACTTTAATATTATTTAAATCGCGCTCGGCCGCACAAGTATACATATACCTCGCGCCTGCGAAAAAAGAAGCGCTTGCGATAACTTTCACTTTAATCGTAAACACCGCGGTCGCGCGAGAGGAGAGAAAATCAAGTGCCAATAACAACAAAATATGACTTGCTAAAAGGTAAATAATTATCGTAAACGTACTTTCGCCCTTAACATCTCGATCAAACAAGGGAAAATGTTCGCGAAGGTTCTCGAAATCCGGGCCTATATAAACCTCCTCTCTCGTGACCGCGGCGCTCTTTCCGATTGCTCGTCGCGAATAGAGTGTGCTTCTACTTTCCGAAAAAGATCGCTTGTCTTTTTCGGTTTTCTCGTCTAATTACCGTTGCTTGCGGAACAGTCAGTAATTTATTTTCGACCCGGCTTTTCTCTCGTTTATTGCATTCATTTCTTATACATTCGACTCGGCTATCTTTTGGTAATTTCTGTGCGGTAAAACAATTGTAAATTTTGTTAATAGTTGAAATATATTTTTTGTTAACGATACGCGTGTGTCGAGTGTAGTGCCTATCTATCGTCTCGCTTCCGACCGTCCTTTCCCGCTATCCGTTGTGCACAATATGTAAATACAAACTTTATATCATTGTAATGATATTTTATTACTTCAGTTAAAAAGATTTAATAAAATATATAATACTATAACAAAATATTTATATTGATGTGTGTATTTCAAGAGAGAAATTTTACGTACGTATCAATTTTCAACAAATTTTTTATAATTTATTTTTTAGTTTTTATTGGTTCATGCATTAAATAATAAATATGTATATTTAAATAAATAATATACAGGGTCCCCAAATTCGCGAATTCGGAATATACAGCGTGATTGTTCGTGCCAAAAAAAACAACTTTTTCCTGTGACAAAATTACGTCTGAGCACTACTTTTAAATGAGAATGACTTTAATCTAACGAATGAGCGTTCTAGATTTCGCATTGAGTTAGGAGCGGTGCGCGAACGGAGTGCGTAACACATGAGAATATATACAGATAAGAAATCTACATTTTGAATATATGCTTTAAAAACATTTAATCGGCCCTTTTCAGAGCCAAAAAGTTTTTAGAACGTTGGAAAATAAACTTGGATTAAAATTATTCACGTATTATTTAATTTACAATATGTTACTTTTATCGTTAATATCATTTGAGAGATATTTTCTCTTGAAGTACTTAAGTTGAATTGAAAAGAAAATTTAGATATGCATAGTTATAATATCTTTAGCAAAATAATAAAATAGCATACACGCTTATGCACCACGCACGTCGTCTGTGCGCAGTTCTTGGTTCATGCAAAATTAAGAGCGCTCACGCATTAATTTAAAGTCATTCTCATTTAAAAAGTAGTGCTCAGACACAATTTTGCCAGAGAAAAGCTGTTTCTTTTGACACGAACAATCACGCTGTACATTCCAAATCCGCAAATTTTGGAACAACCTATATATTAGATAGATAATATATATACTTTATTTTACAATGTTGCAACTCTGTATCTAACAATAAGATTTAAACTGTTATCTAAAATTAAGACAGTTATCCAAGATTAAGATAAATATATTAATAATTAAAAATAATAATAATAATTAGAATATATTAATTATTTTTTTATTTTACTTTATTTTTATTTTTATTTTTTAAATTTTATATTTTTTTGTTTTATTTTATAATTTTATTTTATTTTATTTTTAGTACCGGCATACTTAACAGTAAATTCTGTAAAAGATATACGCAAGATAGATGGGCATATGACGCTATGTAATTTATTGAAAGGGATTAAAAACCCCTCTAAAAAGAAAGAATGAGGATAAAGAAAATTTAGCACAATAAATGAAATTTTAATATAATAAT